GTCTTCCGCTTCGTTTTACTTCCATCGGCCTCCGCTAGCGAGCGACATGACGAACATTCAAGGAACCTTCATTGGGCCGATGCATACACGCTTCATACAACAGAACAGACACATCGCCACATACGCACGACCTGCGCTGCCCTCATCTCCGCCGTGCCTCCCAGCAGCCTACGACAATGGCGACAATAGCGCACTTCGTAGCCCCCCCTAAGGAACTGCGAGGTCTCGGCTGGATCCACGTGGCCCCCGACTCCGCTGGACCTCTCAGGAGCCAACAAATGTTACAACTGCGCAGTTCGCAACCACCCACGGAGAAACGACATCCCGCCTGGATGCGCATGGCCCCCGACTCCGCCGTGCCTCCTAGGAGCCCACAACAATTGCGACAATTGCGCAGTTCGCAGCCCCCCAGGGAGCTGCAACGTCCCGCCTGGGTGCGCATACCCCCCGACTCCGCCGTGCGTTTCAGCAGCCCACGAACGTGGCAACAATTGCGCAGTTCGCCACCCCCCAAGGAGCTGGGAGGTCCCGCCTGGGTGCGCGTACTCCCCGACTCCGCTGTGCCTCCCATGAGCCCACTGTCGACAATGCGCAGTTCGCAGCCCCCCCAGGGAGCTGCGACGTCCCGCCTGGGTGCGCGTACTCCCCCGACTCCGCCGAGCCTCCGCGGAGCCCACGAACCTGACGACAATTGCCCAATTCGCAGCCCCCCCCCCCGAAAGAGCCGCGAGGTCTCGGCTAGATCCACGTGGCCCCCGACTCCGCTGGACCTCCCAGGAGCCCACGAACGTGGTGACCATTGCGCAGCTCGCAGCCCCCCAGGGAGCTGCGAGGTCCTGCCTGGGTGCGCGTGGCCCCCGACTCCGCCGCGCCTCCCACGAGCCCACGACAATGGCGACGATTGCGCTGTTCGCAGTCCCTCGAGGAGCTGCGAGGTCCCGCCTGGATGCGCGTACTCCCCGACTCCGCCGTGCCTCCCAGGAGCCCGCGAACGTGGCTACACTTGCACACAGTTCGCAGCCACCCAAGGAGCTGCGACGTCTCGGCTGGATCCGCGTACTCCCCTACTCCGCCGTGCCTCCCAGGAGCCCGCGAAGAAGTAGGAGGGAGGAAGAGGTAGGAGTTAGCAGCAGGGAGGACACAGGACGCACAGGGCAGGAAGTATGAGGCAGGAAAGAAGAGGGAAGGAAGAGGAGAAAATACCACAATGCTTTATTCAGAACGTGAACCCAATACCGGAAGGTTGGGAATAACACTACTCCGACGATCGGACCTCGCATGCTATGTTTTAGCTTACCTGGAGATATCTTGCTGCCCTCTCCTCCTACCCCCTCCTGCCTCCTACTTCTCCTCTTGCCTGCTCCTCCTGCCTCATCCTCCTCCCCATACCTCCTCCTGCCTCCTCCTTGGGCATCCTGCATCCTCCTGGGGCCGCCTGGGGCATCCTGGAACACCCCTGGAGCCTCCTGGGGCCTCCTGGAGCCTGGAGCCTTCTGGGGCTTCCCTCTGTACTCCTCCTCCTCCTGCTTCCTCCTTCTCCTCCTTATCCTACTTCTCCTCCTTCTCCTCCTCCTCGTTCTGCATCCTCCTTGGCCTTCCTCCTCCTCCTCCTCCTCCTCCTCCTCCTCCTCCTTGTCCTTCTCGTCCTCCTCGTCCTCCTTGTCCTTGTCCTCCTCCTCCTCCTCCTCGTCCTGCCCCCTTCCTGCCCCCTCCTGCTTCCTCCAGGGGCCTCCTGCCTTCTCGTGGGGCGTCCTGGGGCCTCCTGTTGCCTCCTGAGGCCTCTGGTGTACTCCTCCTTCTCCTCCTCCTCCTCCTCCTCCTCCTCCTCCTCCTCCTCCTGCCTCACTCTCCCCCTCCCGCTCCACACGAAGCTCCCGCTCGAGGCGCCCTCCGGATGCATGGCCCGGGAACCCAACACTGACGACACTCGCCTGTTCTGGATGCCCCGCTCGGGTTTGTAACACGATCCGGCGGCTCCACGGGGAGGCGGGGGAGGTAGGGGGGGCTCCCGCTCGAGACGTCCTCACGCTTCACTGGGAAAGAAGCTCCACGCTCGAACGTCCTCCCGGCTCATGCCTCGGGAGCCCAGACGTGACGGCAGTGAATAAGTTTTGAGCGATCCGCTCAACAGTGTAACCCGATCTGGCGGCCCCATCGGGAGAAAGCTCCCGCTCGATGCTGCCTCACATGTTCATCCAGAGACGGCGATCCTGCCCGAGACGACCTCCAGATTCACGCTTCAGGAACACAACAATGACGACACTTGCAGGTTTTGGACGACCCGCTCAGGTTAGTAACATGATCTGGCGGCCCCGTAAGAAGGGGTTCCCGCTCGAGAGTTCCTAACACTTCACTGAAAAACGATGCTCCCGCTCGAGGGGTCCTTAAGATGACTGTGTGAGGATGTGTGTGTTTGTGCATGTGTGTGTGTGTGCGCGTGTGAATGTGAATGTGCATGTGAATGTGTATGTGAATGTGAATGTGATGATGGTGACGGACGATCATGGTGGGACAGTGGTAGTGTTGACGATGGTGTGATGGCGATGCTGGGTGTGAGCGAGGGGATGGGGGAGGAGAGGGGGTTGTGAGGTTCTATCCTGCGCGGGGTGTTCGCAAGAATTAAGAACCCCACTCAAGATGTGGCCACCATTCATATCCTTGGTTACCCGGGACGTACCCAACCCCTTCTCCACGCGAGGCGAATATTTGTATGAGCGCTACATACAAACATGATCAATCGCCATATCTGCACGTTCTGCGCTGACCTCATCTCCGCCGTGCCTCCTAGGGTCCTAGGGTCCCACGGTCGTGGCGACAATTGCGTAATTCGTAGCCTTCCTAAGACTCGCGAGTTCTCGACTGGATCCGCGTGACCCCCGACTCCGCTGGACCTCCTAGGAGCCCATGAAAGTGGTGACGATTGCGCAATCCGCAGCCCCCGAGGAGCTGCGAGATCTCGGGTACTCTGCAACTCCGCCGTGCCTCCCAGGAGCCCACGAAAGTGGCGACAATTGCGCACCACGTAGCCCCCAAGGAGCTGCGAGGTCTCGGGTACTCCGCCATTCTGCCGTGCCTTCCATGAGCCCATGAACGTGGCGACAATCGTGCAGTTCGCACCCCCCCAAGGAGCTGCGAGGTCTCGGGTACTCCGCTACTCCGCCGAGCATCTCAGGAGCCAGCGAAAATGACGACAATTGCACAGTTCGCAACTACCAAAGGGGCTGCGAGGTCTCGGATGCTCCGCTACTCCGCCGTGCCTCCCAGGAGCCCGCGAAAGTGGCGACAGTTGCATAATTCGCATCTACCCAGGGAGCAGTGCAAGAGGAGGTTGGAGCAGGCAGGCGTGTAGGAGAAGGGAGGTGGGAGGAGGAGGTGTCGTGCAAGCAGTGCTCTATCCAAAGCTAGAACCTAACGCAGGAGGGTTGGTGAACAAACAACAGTACATGTATATAACGGACATAATCAGAAATCTACACAAAAGAAATAATAAGGAGTTCATGCGCTTGAAACCAGTTCGTATCATCGGAAACAATACTAATTCCACACACACACAGAAAGCCGTACATATGAAACCAAAACAAAGTCCATACACTGGGAAACCATACTACATCGAGATGACTGGAACCACAAAAAACTCCATACCGAGGGAACACGGAGAAAACACTACACTGGAAAACGTTCGACATCATCACATACAGGTTAAACAATAGAACATCAACGGTTGGATTTTTCACTGGACTTCTCATTCCCCAGGCTCCCAGTGTGCGAAAGCACTCGGCAGGTGGGCGTTGCCCAGACCTCCCGAACGACACGCCACTTCAGCAGACCGCGAGACCGGAGGGGCGCCTGGGGTCCAAAGCAGGTGCGGGGAGAATGACTCCCTCGGCCTCCAGGCCTCCAAGCCTCTGTGGGTAGATCTGATTGTGTCTGCGTCTGCGCCCCAGATGATTGCGGATCTGCAATGGTCTCGTCAACGACGTCCGTGGCGACAGTGCGCACTCCAGGCGCCGACTCGGACACACCGTCTCCGCGCTCCAAGCCTGTCCGCGAAAAACGAATACGCCGAGCCCTTGTGGGTCTCTAAGCGTGTGGGATTGTTCCCCCCCCATAATCCGCCCCCCCCCGGGGACTTCAAACCAGCAGTTTGACCCCCCCCCGCCCCGGGTGGCCCCCCGGACCGGACTCACCCGGGGCCCGGACCGAACTCACCGGGGGGGGGGGTTCCGGCCCTCCCCAGGCTCCCCTTGGAGCGCCAAGGCAGCCTGCGAAGAGGTCCCCCAGATGGTCCAAGATGGCCCCGACTCGCCGAAACATCGCTCCAAGCCCCCCAAGATGGCCTCCACACGGCTCAAGATGCTTCCAAGATGCCCCAAGAGGCCTCTGACAGCCTCCCCCAGAGGGCCGTCAGAAGCCAACATCGTCCCACTCCCTTCGAAAAACGTATATTTTTAGCAGATTCGCCTCTGGGGCTTTCACTACATTCTAGGCGGGCCAGGTAGCCCCCACGAGGGCTCCAGGACGGCCCAAGATAGCCCCAAGACGGCCAAGGACGGCCAAAGGAACCCCAAGCCGGCCGAAGAGGGCCCCCTAGGTTGTCCCAAGAAACACCTACTAGAAGCCCCAAGGGGCCCCCCGGGAATCCCAAGAGATCCTCAAAAAGGCCCCCGAGACTTCCCCAGGAGACCCCTCAGAGGCCCAAAAACTGGCTCCAACATGCCCCCAATAGCCCTCTCACGAGATCCCATCAGCCATCCGAAGCGCCTCAAACCCACAACCCCGTTCGCGGTCCGGGTACCCGCACTCTGTCTCCAGATCCAAGGTGAAACCGCGCGCTCTGGGGGTGCCGGGGTCGTCCCGAACGGCCTCCGGAGGCCTAAGCTCACGCCCGCAAACCAGGTCCTCACTTTTCCTCCTCCACCTTTTCCCCCTCCTCTTCCTCCTTGTCCTCCTTCTCTTCCACCCCCTCCTCCTCATCCTCCGTCACCTCCGCATGCCCCTCCTGCTCCTCTTCGCCCCTGCGGCCCCGAGCATCGGCCCAAGGCCCCAGGACAGCAATGGAGGGTCCCAGACTAGATCCAGGCGTCGGCGGATGCCTATATAATCGCTGCAGTACTGTCGGGGACGGTCGTTTTGCCCAAACCCTGGATATCACCTGCAGAGAAACACGAGGAAGAAGGTTGCTCAGGTGGAAGGCGCTCTCTACCACGACCTTCATCGCAGCGGAGCCCAGAATGAAGAGATAGATGCTCAAGAGCAGGAGAACAACGTACACGGCGCAAACCATAAAAGCGAAGAGAATATGATAACAGATCACGAGAGTGAGCGTAAGGACGTGCATCACTTGTGGTAGCGCCCACCCCGCTGAGGATTGCAGCCTGGTTCTCCTCACGTCAGCTGTAGGTGAGGATGGTGGTACAGAACATCCAGAAGGTGGCCATTGTCCAGATTCTGACGACGGCGGCGAAATGCATGAACACTCCCGTCACGGGCACGCTTGGGTCGTCTTCTGGCGGGTCCGCTAGAAGCCCAAGCTCCATTGGAGGCATGGTGTCCAGGATGTGGTGCAAAGGGGGAGGCGTACACATGTTGTGAACCACGTCGTCGAGGTCGGCGATGAAGAATAGCCCAACAATATTGAGGATTCTGTCGTCTGTTTCGCTCCGGACGATGTGGCCCGATCCAATAACAGCAATGGCAGCTACGATGCATGCCCGCACAATGATGAAGAGCAGCAAGCACAGTGATCGGTACCAGAAGGGAATACTTCCTGTGGGCCTCCAGAGCACCGTGGGCACGCCATAATGGTCTTTGTACTTTTTCTGCACCTGCTTCAACGAGCCGTGCAATATCCCGCCCTGAGGGTACTCACGGAGCCAAAGGTAAGATCGAATCAAACCCATGAGTCTCCTGAAATAGCAGACGTCGCCAGTATGCCAACGCACAGGAACGTCAACACCGACGGCTCCACGCACGAGACCTCGGTCTCTGCGACTACCTGGTGCACCTACAGGGCATAGGAGCCCTGCAAGAGAGCGGTCCCTATTGCCAGAACCCAGATGAGCACCACGATGGCAACCATAGAAACTGAAAAATGTGGGACAAGAGAAGGAGTGTAGGGAGCCCACAAAGGACGTACGCGCCCAGCTATGTACATGAACACGGCCCCTCGATCCGCGAGACCGGCCGCGTTATACAAACATTTGCGCAGTGCGTACTCTCGAAACCAGCGTGGATTCATGTACATGTACGTCCTTCTTTCGCTCCTGAGAGTGGGGATAGCCGCTGGCCAGATGGTACTGGACAGGTCGGCCTGCCAGTGTTCGAGGCCAGGCCGGTCAGCAGAGCGGACAAACAAACAACTTCCTCCTCGTCTGCGTCAGCCGTGGGGCGCGACTCCTGCCGTGAGAGGGACATCGCACGCGTTGAAGGCTGCCCCGCCCTCGGCACCTGGATCACGAACCCTTGAGCCAAACTGGTTACGGATAACATCAACGTTTGGAACCAATCTGACATCCATACGGTGGAAACAAACAGGAACCCAGACAGGGGAGAGCAGAAAGAACATTCGGCCGGCGGAAACCAATGGAACGCAATGCAGTGGAACATGCGCAGGAATCCATGCAATGGAAAGCAATCAGAAATCGATGCTGGAGGGAAACGCTCAGTAACCCACAGTCCGGAAAACGATAAGAAATCCATGCACTTGAAAACAATGAAATCCGCCACCGTGCCTCTGGGCACGGAGTGGGCGTCCTCAGGTCCGTTGCGTAATCCTTGGAGCCTCAGCCCTCACTCCTGAGGAGTCTGCGAGGGACCCGCACTCCAACTTCCGAACTCTCCCGGGGCTTCCCGCGTGCCCCCTGGACTCGGGGAAGCGTTGGCGCATGACTTTTTCGGGCCCGAGAGTGCCCGAGGACGGGCCAAGAGGGCCCCCAAGACGGTCCAAGAAGGCCCCCGAGTCGCCGAAAAAACGTTCCGAGACGCTCAAGACGGCCTCAAGAGGACCCCAGAGGCCTCCAAGACGCCCCAAGAGGCCTCCCAAGAGGGCCCCCAGAGGCAACAATCATTGACCTTCGTTCGCTTTTTCAGCGGTTTTGGTGGCGTTCTCGCTTTTTCGGCTTTCCGACGCTTCAAGACGGCTCCAAGACGGCCTAAGACCTAAGAGCGCCCCAAGACGGCCTGAGAGGGGCCCAAGGCGGCCCAAGAGGGCCCCAAGGCGGCCCAAGAGTGGGCCCAAGAAGAAGAACACGAACTGAATATCCGAGGCCCTAGAGACCCCAAGAGGCCCCCAGGAGGCCCCAAGAGGCGCCAAGGAGGCCCCAAGAGGCTCGAGTGCCCTAAGAGACCCCAAGGGGCCCCCAAGAGGCCCCAAAGAGGCCCCAAGAGGCCCCAAGAGGCCCCAAAACGGCCCCCAAGAGGCCTCCAAGCTACCTCCGAGAGGCCCCCGAGAGACCTCCCGCGAGATCACACCCAACATCCACGAGGCTTCATACCCACGACCCAGGCACGGTTGCGGGATGGGCCGAAGGCCACGAGACATCCGCCGCCCCCTGCTGGCTTGCCACAGGGGTGCCCAGCGTGCTGGACGTTCTCAAGAGTTCGTGGTTCTTTTAGAACTTCCCGTGGGCCTTCGGCACAGCGCGCCGGAAACCCAGAACACCTGGTTCAAAATGTTTTTCCTGCACCAAATGACTCGAAGATATCTCAACATACGGCCAAGATGGTCTCCAGGATCGCTCGAGATTGTCCAAGATAGCCTCCAAGACGGCAAGCGAATGTGCCTCGGCCGATTTTGACCGCCAGCGCTGTCGTCGTCATCATCTTCTCAAGAGCATGGCCGATGCCAATATTTCATCTCAATCATTTCAATCAGTATCCTGTGACCCTCCAATAATGTTCCCACCCATCGTAGTTCTCAAACTTACCGATCCTCACCCATGTTGCCCTCATCCTTTGACTTACCATTCTCCTCCTTGTCGTACCCATTCCAAACGCGCCCTCATCTACGTTACCCTCTCCATTTCCTCGTACCCTGTTCGTCCTATCCTCATCCATGCTCTCCTCATCCTCGCCCGTATCTTCCGCAACCTATATCCTCCCCATATTCCCCAGGCGAGCTCAACATGCCGCCCAAACATACACACAACTTTCTAGCAACATGTCTGGTTGCCCTTGCGTGTCGACGTCTGGGAGCGGTGTGCGTGTGTGTGTGTGTGTGTGTGTGTGTGTGTGTGTGTGTTGCACTCTGGGGGTCTTCCACTGCAAGCGGCCTCCAAGGATGACCGAAAGTAACAAAGCATGAGGAAGCGCCCAAATCAACCCGCGAAGGACGATCCCTTGCAGTGAAGCGCGGCGAGGGAGAGCGGGCAATGACACTGTGCTGACATTGCATGTGTCGTAAACTTTTTTATTTCACAGACGATAACATAACACACGCAAGTCGCGCACGATGGCAACACGTAGCACCCTGGACGATGATGGGGCCGCAAGTCGGACCGCATCCGCAACTGCACCCTTTGTCCACTGGCCTCCTCCTCCGCCTCCTTCCGAGCGCCGCGCCTCCGCCTGGGCCGTCCATGGCCACCTCGCGCACAAGGGCTCGTGTACCGCCCCCCCGCCCCCCTCAATCCGGGCCAAGACTGCCAAAGGAGGTCCTGTGCGAACGGCGGTGCAAGAAGAGGGTCGGCGAGCAGTGGGAGAGGCAACTGCATCAGCATTGCCGTGACCGCACCCCACGTTCCACTGTCTGCCGACCCTCCTCCTCCATCTCTTCTTCTTCTTCTTCTTCTTCCTCCTCCTCCTCCTCACCCTACTCACCAGCGCCAACCCTGCCCGCGGCCATCGACCCTGTAGCACCTATCGCCGTGACTCCTCCTCCTCCTCCTCCTCCTCCTCCTCCTCCTCCTCCTCCTCCTACCCCCTCCTGGAACCCTCCCTGGCCCCCCCTGAAGCTCGGCGGAAGCCCCTGAGACCATCGGCAGACCTCCTCCTTGCCGCTCTTCCCCCCCCTGCTCCTCGACTTACTTGCCCAGCCACGAGGGGGCCCCCGTCGAGTGACACACGCATCCACGCCGAGGGAGGGCAGGAGCACGGAAGGAGCGGGCTACCCGCTCCCCAAGGGCCCCGAAACTTCGCGCTCCGCGCTGCGCGAAGCGCGGAGCGCGAACAACTTCGCGCTCTCGCGCCGCCTCCCAGGGGAGAAGAGGAGGACGAGGAGGAATCGGAGCCGAACCGCGCGGCGCGAGGCGCGAATCACTCCGCGCCCTCGAGGGCGCCCCTGCTCTCTGGCCTCGCCCGCCCCCTCTGCTCCTCGACCCCGCTCCTCCCCCTCCTGCCCGTCGGCCTGCGCGGGCCTCATGGCGGGCGGCGTCGCGTGCGCGCGCGCGGCTGGACGGGCCGAGGGCGTGCCGCTGCGGAAGTGGCCACTGCTGAGGAGGAGGAGGAGGAGGAGGAGGAGGAGGAGGAGGAGGCGGAGAAGGATGGGGGGAAGGAGGAGGATGAGGAAGAAGAAGAGGAGGAGGAGGAGGAGGAGGAGGAGGAGGAGGAGGAGGAGAAGGAGGGGGAGGAGGAGGAGGGTGGAAGAAGGAGAAGGAAGATGAAGAAGAGGAGGAGAAAGAAGATGAGGAGGAGGAGGAAGAGGAGGAGGGGGAGGGGGAGGAGGAGGAGGAGGAGGAGGAGGAGGAGGAGGAGGAGGAGGAGGAGGAGGCTGGCAATGGCACGGTCAACGAGAACGACAAGGACCTCCCTGCGCCGTGGAGAGCCGTCCCGGCACACTTTTCTGCGCGTCTCCTGTGCAATTTAACTTGGGCTTCGGTAGCCAATGAATTAGAATCAAGGGCGGTAACTTTAAGGCCCCCGCCGTGATGGAAGCACGGAATCGGAGCTGTGGGAGCCTTGTAACAAGCGGCTTCGGTGCGCCGCCATCATGATTGACAGAAACAATCATTGCTGTAGTGGTCGTGCCCACCGTCGTCTGACTTACCAGTATCATCGTTGCAATCATTCAGCTGCTAAGTTGTTCGCTGCTGTGCTATCACCCAACTCTTCTTGATGTCGTCACACATGCCTCTACTACTACTACTGCTACTACTACTGCTGCTGCTACTACTACTACTACTACTTCTTCTACTACTACTACTACTACTACTACGACTACTACTACTACTACTACTACTACTACTACTACGACTACTACTACTACTAACTACTACTACTACTACTACTACCTACTACTACGACTACTACTACTACTACTACTACTACTACTACTACTACTACTACTACGACTACTACTACTACTACTACTACTACTACTACGTACTACTACTACTACTACTACTACTACTAGACTACTACTACTACTACTACTACTACTACTCTACTACTACTACTACTACTACTATACTACTACTACTACTACTACTACCTACTACTACTAACTACTAACTACTAACTACTAACTACTAGCTACAAACTACTAACTACTACTACGACTACTACTACTACTACTACTACTACTACTACTACTACTACTACTACTACTACTACTACTACTACTACTACTAACTACAAACTACAAACTACAAACTACAAACTACAAACTACAAACTACAAACTACTACTACTACTACTACTACTACTACTACTACTACTACTACTACGGCTACTACTACTACTACGACGACTACTACTACCACTACTACTAATACGATTACGGCGACGACGACTACTACTCCTATGACTCCTACTACAACAACAACTACTACTACTACCACTACTACTACTACTACTGCTACTACTACTACTGTTACTACTACGGCTACGGCTACTACTGCTACTGTTACGACTGCGGCTGATACGGATACGCCTGCTCTAAGAAACCTACAACTACGGCTACTACCTATGCTACTGCTACGACTACCACCACCAGTCCTACTACTGCGACGAGTGCCGCTGCTACTGCTACAAGGCAACCTATGACTACTGCTTCTACTGCTACGTCTACTGCTACTTCTACCACTTCTACTACGTCTACTACTAAAACTACTACTACCACTACCACTACCACTACTACTACTACTACTACTACTACTACTACTACTACTACTACTACTACTGCTGCTACTACTAGTACGACTACTATTACTACTACTACTACCACTACTACTACTACTATCTACTACCACTACTACTACGAACTACTTACTACTACTCAAACCAATACTACTAACTACTAACTACTACTACTACTACACTACTACTACTACTACTACCACAATACTACTACTACTACTACTACTAACTACTACTGCTCTATCACTACTAATACTACTACTACTATTACTACTACTACTACTACTAAATCTGCCCCTACATCTACGACTACGACTACGACTACGACTACACCTACGACTACGACTACGATTACTAACTACTATACTACTACACTACGACGACTACTACTTCTACTACTACTACTACTACTACTACTACTACTACGACTACTACTAACTACTTCTACTACGACTACAACTACTACTACTACCTACCACCTACGACCA